CCCCCCCCCCCGCCCCAAAGTGGCCATATCTCACGCGGTGGGAGGGACCGCCTGTCACCTGTTTTGCAAACCCGTTTCCTACCCTCAACAGGCCATTCTCAAAAGCCTTGGAAGGACCAGTGTTTCCAGGGGAGTCGGATCTGTAAAGCGAAAGCGCTGAGCCTCAGCCTGACGCGGGGCCCAGGGGCCGGCACCGTGGGAACCTGTCGTTTGTCCCCGAATCTCTTCTCTGGTCTCTTTCTCTTCGGGGCTGAGTCTGTGCGTCCTTGGAGGTTCCGGCTGCCGCTGCAGCCTGTGTCACTGGTTTTCACTCTTACCCTCCGTTTCCCCTCTTAACTGCCTTTTTGCCTCCCCTTGCGTTGCCATCAAAAGGATGAGAACAGGTCATACGCAAACCTGAATTACAGAACGGAAAAATTAAGGTCAAGAAAAGAACCCAGCTGTTTCCAGAGTGTGCGGGAAAACAGGAAGACAGAAGGAGATAGTGGTGCAAAGTACACACACACACACACACACACACACAAACCCACATTTTTGTGCCTAAATAACTGAATCTGAAACTTTAGGATGAACAAAGAGTGATTTCCAATTCTTGACTTCCTGGTGAAAGTCTGTTCAAATCACATGGAGCACATGAATGTCTTTGCTAGGTCAGAGCACTGACTGTTAAAACAAGGGAATAATTACCTCTTCCTCTCCCCAGCCTCTCTTTTAGGTCTCCGGTATGACTCTGGGTTTCTCTAGACAGCTGTCGAGTCCAAATTGTAAAGCAAAGTTGCGGCCGGAGCGCCAGTGCCCAGAGGTTGAGATTTCTCAGAGGAGAAAAAGTTGCAGCGCGTGAATGTCGTAAGCAACCACTCACTGCCTCCTTCCTCACAAAATGAACCATTGACACTAAGTATCCCTTATTAAGCCAGAGAAAGGGTATCATCTCAAAAGAACCAGATAAAGTTATGGTTAAGAACCATTTAAGTTGCTCGCATGTTTCTGGTTTCCTGGGAATACGCAAAAGCTTCCCCCTCCCGACCGGATTGGCCTTTAACCCTCTGCACTGACTTTTTTCACCCACACCTTCTCCAGGAGATTCATGGAAGTAGAAATCCTGATCCAAGAAGACAAAAATGTCCCTGATACAAGTTCTTTCCCTCTTTCTTCTTTTCCTTTCCGTTTCTCCTGCGTTCACAGCAAAGGCTACCAAGAGGAGTAGACGGCCTTTCCAGAGCAGAAAGTGTCAAAGAGAAGAAAATCAAAAACGACAGGGCCATCTGCAGACACCCCGAACTTTAAATGGTCATTGGAGCTTAGGGGCTTGTCCCCAAATCCAGAGAATAAGAATATATGGGGCCCCCCAACAGATGTGTAAGCTTTTCCGCTTTCAGAAGGGGATTCAGAAAACAAATAACACTCGCTAGGGATGGGGAAAAGTGGCTGGAAGAACAGAAATAAAGAAGAAAGATTCCTGGATGTGGATTACAAACACAGGGCGTCGGGCCCTGCTGGACAGGGGCAGAACAGATTCATAAGTGTAATATGTGTTTATGGAGCGCACTAAGCTTCTAGGATATAGGATCTAAGTTCCTAGGATCACAGTACACAAAGTATGCAAAAGTCCGTGTCCTCAAGAGACTCGGCGTGGGGGAGAGGGCGAGGGGAAGGGAACAACGCAGAAAACACAGAGGGGAATAAGCGGGTTATATAATGTATAAGGAAATTGTAGGATATATTAGAAAAGATAGGTTTGAAAGTGTCAGGATTTGTATCATGACCGGGAAGCAGCAAAGACTGCATGTCGCAGTCAGCTACTGCCCCGTAACAAACACACAAAACCCAAACGCATAGAAGACACTCCAGTAAGCATTTATTACTCAAGCGTCTGAAGGTGAATGACCTAAGCCAAGCTTAACCGAAGGCTGTATTTTTGAGCCGCGGGTACACCTCCACTTGGCTCCTCGGCCCCCTGCTGCAGGGGCTCTGGTGAGTTTGAAGCGTGTTCCTTTCGGGACCATGAGTGAAATCGCAGCCGCTCCCTGGAGGGGACGTCCTCTCACGAAGATGGCAAACGTATTTAAAGGCCCTGCTTGACTTGTGTCTAATATCTCATTGACCCAAGTCATCCTCAGGCCCCAGCCCAGAGACAAGGGACAACACTCCATCTCTTGAAGAGGAACTGAGGAGTTAGTTACGAGGCAGAGGACTCGGATAAAGACAGGAATGAGGGGCACCTGGGTGGCTCAGTTGGTTGAGCTTCTGACCTTGGCTCGGGTCGTGATCTCATGCTCTGTGAGTTCAAGCCCCGCTTTGGGCTCTGTGCTGATTTTGAATTTTAGCAATTATTCATCCTTTCCTTTTATCTTAATATTCCATATTAAAAATGAGTTCTCAACGTGTATGAATTCTACACACTTTGAGAAAGAGAAGAGTAGCCCCTGACAGCCAGGAACTGGTCTGACTCTCAGAGCTCAGCCTTAGTGTTGCTAGGAGCTGGCCTGGCATTCCCAGCTAAGCCCTAGGAAATTCCTGTTGAACATAAATAATTTCCAGGGACACCAACCACAGGCAAGGCCACCTTGTGACCTTGACGAAGCAAGATGAAAACAAAACACTGTCCGTAATCATGTCTGAACGCAGATGAAAAGCAATAGCGTTGCGCATGTAACGAAAGTTACCAAACCTCCCCTCCTTCCTGGCTCACAGGAGGGACCACTGCATTTTTTCAAACCCATTTTAGCTCTCGTCTTGCTTTGATCCTCTCACCTTGGAGACAAAAACTGTTAAGGTACCCAGCCATCGAGTAACTGAGTCACTTAATAGGTCACCATATTTTGCCCCCCTCCTTGTAACAAGACAATAAATCCAACTTTGATCAACCACGGTGTGTCCTTCGTAGGTCTTGGCAGGAGATCAATTATCTTGAATTTTGAAGCATTAAATATCACTGAGATGAAGCCAGTTAACTTTTATGAGATACCTTCCCTTCATCCATCGCTTAGCCAGGCTAAGGAAAGATAGATTAAAAAGTTGAACATATTCTCTGCATGTCGTAAGAGTGACAAACTGTTCCGGTTTGCTGTATTTTACCACGCTATGGTTTTGTTTAGATACCGGGTGTCTTGGGCCATGTGATAGTGTTTAATTTTTACTTAGGAACTTTATCAGGGTTTCTTTTGCGATTTTTTCCATCTAATTTTTAATGGTCTGATGCTTTCTTTCATGTAGGAGTTTGTAAACCATCTTCAAACTACATATACCATAGAAGCCAGATATTCTTAGATAAAATTCAAAATCAGATAATTGCTTCAGATTTTGTGCTCCGTGGCTCTTCAGTCCTCGTGAGGTTTTTCGAAGATCCGCTGGCTCATGACAAATGTACTTAAGAATTTTCTAGATATCAAAAGTCACAGTGTCAGTTGCAAGATCGGGACATATTGGAAAGGTCTCATCATCCGAAGAACTTGGTCCGCCCGAACCTTAATAAGGAAAGGCCCGTTATATGAGTTT